GGGTGGTGGAGGTGAGTCTGCACTCAGCTTCCAGCAGAGGCTGACTGTCTTCTCACTCCTTGGTGCACTCTTGCTCAGAAGTATCTTCCTTGAAGGCCTCTGGGCTACATGATGCAGTCACAGTGCTTGCCCATGCTGCCGGGTCTGGGCAGAGCTCCCTGCGAGACATCTCCCTTCTCCACCCTGCTCACAGAGTTGTCTTTAAGGTCATCGAGTCCAACCATCAATCTAACACTGCTAAAACCACCACTAAACCATGGCTCTGAGCACCGCGTCTACCCATCTTTTAAATACCTCCAGGGATGGCAATTCCACCCCTTCCTCCTGGGCAGCCTGTTCCGATGTTTAATAACCCTTTCAGTGAAGAAATTTTTCCTGTTATCCAATCTAATTTTGAGGCCATTTCCTCTTGTCCTAAGAGGACATCTCTGCACCTGAGCTGCTGCAGGCAGGCTGTTGAGCCGGGGTGCTCCAGAAGGGAGAGTGCAGCCTGGTCTGTGTGGCTCCATCACCACTGTCTCATCAAAACAGGGCTTTTCGTGGTATAAGTCAAGGGAGAAGAGCCCAACTGGCTGCTGCTATGAGGCTGGTGCCTGGCACAGCTCCACTTGCTGGTTCCCATCCCCTGGTCCATGGCTCGTGCTGATGTGGCATTTCATGGTGTGCAGAAGTGAAAAGCTTTTGCTACCAGCTAGAGACATCACTCTGTCCTGAGGGACCCCACAGGCTGTTTTATCCTTGAGACTGATCCTCACAGCCTCTCCATGTGTCACTTCACCTTCCCCTGGAGTGATGCCAGGTCTGCAGCACAGGACAGCTCTGCGCGACAGAGGAAGGGATGTCTTCTCCGGCTGAAAAGCAACCTCAGATCTCTCAAATATGGTATTTGTACGGTAACCTGAATTAATCTGTCCTTCCTATGCATATAATGGGACAGCAAATGTTGCTGAGATTTCATGAGCATGGGCCACCAGGGGATGCTTACCTGAAGAGAGCTGTCCTGGTGCCAAATACGTATCTGAGATGTGTATTTGAGGGAAGGTCCCTTTCAAGAACACTTGCTTGAGCTGGGAACCTCTAGGGCTGATTCACTTGCTGCAGACAAGTCTGAGTCATTAGCAGGAGTAAAGAAAAATTAGAGATGTTTTATTGCTTGTCAGAGTTTCCCCCCAAGCTATTTTGGCACACGAGATGAACATTCACTAGGAACTTCTTCAAGCTCTAATTAGCTGTACATGAGTAATAAGGGCTCTTATGGTAGGTAATAACATGCATGAGTACATAAGGACTCTCAGGGCCTCACCAGCTTAGTTGATGTGGTCACATCTCCCTCTTTTGGCTGCTGCAGGACACCAGCAGCCCGGAGGCAGGAAACAGTGATTTTTAGTGCTCAGCAGCCTTTGCTGCCGCTGTTTAACTCTGCGGAGTGGGTGCGTTGCTGCGGACGGGTTATGAATGCGATTGGAAATGTAAAAGGATAGCCCCAAGGAATTGTTCCCAGAGGAAACAGTTACGGGTGGTTGTGGGCTTTTTGCATATACCACAGAAATTTGGATAGAGTAAAGGAAAAGAGGTGAGGGTTTTTTTTAAAAGATGAAGCTGAGTCAGCAGTAGGTGAATGCGCTACTCCCATTGCTTCCTCGGGTAATTAGTGGAAAATGGTAAAGCATGAGCCCACCCAAGCATGAGGGTCTCAACCATAGTCGCTGTGTGGGCAGCAGCTGTCCTGTCTCCCCCAGCCCTCCAAGCAGACACTTTGTCGGTAGAAATCTCCCTGTGACAGGCACTCGTTAGTCTTTGTTTGACAACACTGCTAGAATGTAAATGAAATTACATGCCATACCCTGCAGAGCACAACCAGTGAAACCCTAATTGCTTAAGAATTCACACCCTATTTCCTTTATGCTTTAGGCTCTATTACCTCTGGAGTAACCCCAAGTCTCCCCCCCATCCCACCAGATGTGCCGCCTTCTCTGTATCCGGTGCTCCTGTGTCCGAGATGGAGGGAATGCAGCGCGAGTCCCCTCCTTCCTTCTCTGCCAGCCGGCGGCTGCTGCTCGTCCAAGGCTCTCTCAGGAGCAGGGGGCTGAGATTCAGCTCACCCCGCTTCAGCGTTGGGCAGCAGAGCTGTGCCTGCCTGGGTGCAACACCCCTGGCTTCAGGTGGATGAGCACCCCGGGAGAAGGCAGCTGCACCCCACATTCCCCAGACAGGAGCTCTGCTCGCAGAGGGAGCGTGAGGTGACCAAAAGGTGGGTAGATCCTCCCTCTGCATCCCTGACACCTCTGTGCTCTCTGTCAGGCTTGAAGGTGGACAGGAGGTTGAAAAGCTGCTGGGGAAGATGCCAAGCAGACAAGTGCCCTGCGGCCTCGTGTCCTTTGCAAAGTCTCTCTAGCCCTGCTTTTTTTCCCCTTTTTCTGTTGGATAGAAAATCTACCTGGGCAGAATTCATCTCATGGATACAAGTGGTGAGGCCTCATCACCGGCAAAGGACGACTGATGTGGCTGCTGTCTGTCATGGTCATGCAGGTCCCCGTTTCACAGAACCCAGTGTAAAACACGGCTCTGTAATTCCTGCTTCCTTGCAGTTATATGGCAAATGCTGCAGCAGCCATACTGCTCCAAACTCTGGGTCCAGTCCTCTTCATCATCTTTGTTAACAATGGGGTTGTGGAGTCTTCCCCCTTGGAGATGCCCAAAAACCGTCTGGACATGGTCCTGGGCAACCAGCTCTCAGTGGCGCTGCTTGAGCAGGGCGGATGGACCAGATGACCTCCAGAGGTCTCTTCCAGCCTCAGCCACTCCATGACTCTGATTTGGGGCATTGCCTTGCCCTCAGCCCCCCAAGCTGCCACTTAACTGACACCCACAAACTTGCACGTTAGCAGAGGAAGCAAGAAACTGCTCCCCCAGGGACTGGCTGTAAAAAGGCTTTGTCCCAGCAGGATGTCTTCAGTAAACCTGTTTCTTATGTTCCCTAATTATTTAGCTACAGCCAAAAGAATCTCCTAACCCCTTCCCTGAGGCAGGCCATCGTTTCCTTTTCCAGCAGCGTTGGTTTTGCCTACCCAATGCATTGCTTCAGCTCTGCGGTGGTTATTGCCAGCAGGAACGGCACCATCCTGTCCTTCACGGTGCCACCAGCAGCACTTCTCAGGTGCTGTACATTTGATTCAGGCACCTGTAAACTTTGGGATGTGTCTCCCTTTGATCCTCCTGATGGCTGCCGCACTTGATTTGAGCTGCAGTTCAGAGTGGACTGACCCACTGGGGTTTAAGTGAGGACGTTGGTTAGTGGGGGCTGCTCAGCCCTGCAGGGGTGCTGGCAGGAGGAGTAAGACCTTTTGTCTCGGTGTTACTCTTTTCCCAACAAAAGGCAAGAAATTCCCAGGGTAACACATCAGAGCAGAAGTTATCAAATAGGTCTCTGGGGGTGCAAAGGGGTAACTTAAACTATGTGTTTATTTAAAAATGGGTTGAGTAAATTTGGTGTTGGGGATGTAAAATATGCAAAACGCAATACATGATCATACAACCGCAAGCAGGAAATGTGGCTAGCTGCACTCGTGATGGGGAGAACCACTGTAAAACTGCCCCTGTTTTGGAAACCTGATCCTGCCCTGGTGTTATCCCACACTTCCTTACCCCTGCAGACACAGTGCCTGTAGATCACTCTGTGCGCTCATCTGATGCTGGAGCTGTGGTTTTCCTCTCCCACGTTGCTTGTTGTGCTCTACTACCCAGCTGGCACCTTGCAGCACATCCAACAACATCTTGAGTTCTTCTCAATCCTCTTCTCCCCAAGCATTTTGCACAGGGGATGTCATTGCTCATCCATAGTTAAACACCGCTGCCCTCCCAGAGCTTTCCTCCTGGGCCTTTCCCAGGACCTTGCTCCTCTTCACATCCTCTCCCTCCCCACCACCGCCTCTGACAGGATCCAAGAGCCCTTAACACAAAATGCTTCACCACCCTCTGTCGGGTGGAAAAGTGGCCACTGACTCCTGGTCACAGGGAAAAGAAACCTCCTTGGATTTAGATTCTTACAGCAATGGGGCTGCAGACCTCAGGGCCAGCTCCTCACCAGCAAGGATAGCTTGTGTTAAAACCCACAGGGACTGACAGGTCCCAAATAACGTGCTCCACTTTCACCATGGGCACACTGTGGAGCCGAGATGTTTGGGACAGTTTTGCCAGCAGAAGCACCATGTAAGGGATATGGGTGGGTGTTTAACAAGGCATTTGTCCCCCAGGCGATGGGCTGATCGGGGCTGTTTGCACTCCCTGCTCTCCTCCAGCATCATGGGCATTGCTGCTGGTGGGCAGTCACTCCTGGTCGCTTCCACCAGCACACACTCACCTGCTTGGCCACAGCATGCAGCTCTTGCCAAACAGCAGAGGGGAGGCAGGGGGAAGGGGGAGTAGTTGTTCGTGGTGACTGCGACAAACACTGTTTTTACATCTCCCAGACAGGGTAAACCATCCTCATGGGGTGCTTGGAATGCTGGAATTCACCAGCTGTTTTCTTTGGATACTGGTGTGTTGTATCTGGACAGAAATCGAGGCATGCTGTTGGACCGGGCACATCCACCAGTCTGCTGCGCCAAGAAAACTTTGCCCGCTGCTAGGACCTCTGCCTGCTTTCTAAACAGAAAGGCTGTTTGCCCTGACCTGTGGCCCTCTGGAAAAGAGAGGGAAGGTGACTTGCCCAGGGTCACAGGGAGAGCTGGGCATGGCGATTTCCCAGGCTCCAACCTGATGGCTTCATCTCTCTCCCTCCCCTCCCTGGGTCTCCAGCAGGACCCCACTGGCTTTGAGCAGGGGAATAAAACACACAACATAAAATCCCAGCCCCTGAGGCAAGCGATAGACCTCACCCAAGGAGCTGTGTTACGGGACAAAGAGAAAATAGTGAGAATAATGGATGGTGTACAGAGTGCCCAGGAGGTACTTGGTGCATGGTGGCTGCACACAGGACCCAGGGCTGCTTTCGTGGAGACTCAGCTGCGGAGCAGTTCCTGGGAGCAGCTGGTGGCTTTGAACCCTTCTGGAATGTCACTATCCAGTTTGGAAATGATTTTGTAAATGGGTTTCTTCCAGGAGGGGTCGGCATCCTTGCCTGCCCTGACGGCGCTGAAGAACTCCCGCAGCGTCAGGCTGGCCACCTCCAGGAATCGCCCTGGCACCTGCAGCAAGATGGGCATCAGCCCACAGCACCACCGGCTCCCCGGCTCCCCCTTGCCCCAGCAAACCCCACCAGCCCCGCTGCCCCTGCCCCCTGCCTCCCCCTCCTCACCTCAAAGTCATTTCCCTTGTTATAGTGCGTGTTGAGGGCGCGGAAGAGCTCCGAGTCCCGGGAGACCCACAGGGCACCAGCATCCACAACACCCTCCAGCAGAGCCTGCCGGGCAAACTTCTCTACCTGGATGTAGTAAAACTCACGGAAGTTGCTGAACCACTTGATGAGCTGGGAGGTGATGCAGCGGCTGAACTGCAGGGGGGGAGAGCCAGAGGACAGGCGTTATGCCAGCTTGGAGCCTCCTGACCCATGAGCCCCTGCAAACCCAGCCAGGTGCTGCTGGCCTGGCCCCAAACCCAGCCCAGCCAGGACTGTGACATGGGGGTGTCCACGGTGCCTCTCCCCACTGAGATTTGGATCCCACCAGCCCTGTGGCGGGGAGGCACGTTCGTGATATGCTTCAATCTCAATGCCTCCATCACACAGAGCGATGACCTGGCAGCCCAGGCCTGCCGTGGCCCCGAGCAGCCGCTCCCGGGCAGCCCATGCTGAAGTGTGTGTGCCACCCCCCCCCCCTGCCAGTGAGGTGGGGCTGGGGGGACACACGAGAGCATCCCCTTCCCTGTGGTTCCCCAGCGATGTGGGCTGGGTTCCACGTTGCACAGGAGCCCTGCTGGGCACCAGCACCGGGTGTTGCTGCTTTACCTGCACGTCGAGGAAGTAGGTTTTCAGCAGCGTGGAGCTGGGGTAGCGAGTGAAGAAAAACATCAGCTTGGCCTTCTTCAGGTGGCCAGGGGTCAGTGCCTCCTGGATCTGCCTCGAGGTCAAGGAAAGCCTGCACACAGCAGCCCGACCGGCTTGGTGTGTCCCTGAGCAGTGGCCCCGGCACGCACATGCCTGGTGCCTCAATAACCCCTTCCCATAGCCTGGCAGTAGGGTGGAGGGGGTTTGTCCCCAGACGAGCAGCCACTGGCTTTTCCCTTCAGCATCCCTGGGGAAGCTGCCGCTCCCTACGGTGCTTCCCAGGCTGGTGGGAACAGGGATATCCATGAGACACCTGTTCCTGGCATAGGACGACAGGACCACCAGGATAGCCTAAAAGAAGGCTTGGGACCTCCTAGCTCCTCAACTAGGTTACAGCATCTAACCAACCCTGAGGAGCAGCAGTGCCCCTCTGCAGCTCAGGACCCCTTCCTTTCCTGCCCACCCCTTTTTAGCCATCTGTGGAGCAGTGAATACCGTGGCCCTGGAGAGACCAGCAGAGGCCTTGTCAAGCTGTGGCTCTGGAGGACAAGGGGAGCACATTCAAGCTCAGGGACCTCTCTAGCTTCAGCTGAGCCCAGGGACCTTTCCAGTTGCCCCCAAAGGATATATGGGTGGAAGCGAAGGGCACCCCATCCATCGCAGCCTGCAGCTCCCCACAGCCGTCCCTGCCAGCCGGCAGCAACGCCAGGCTCTCCACATCAGCAGGGCTCAGGGGAAGAGGATGCTGCTGCTGCTGTCTCACAACCGATGACCTCAGTTTCACGGTTCCCCAGTGCAAGTTGAGGGGCTCCAGAGGACCACTCTCTGGAGCAGAGGGGCTCCTGCGAGAGCCGCTGCCCCAGGGGCCAGGCTGGCTGCAGCCCAGCAGCTGGCTCAGCAGCTGGCTGTCCTGGACAGTGGTGGCCGAACCCAGTGGATAACCCATGCTGGGTACCTGACAGGGTTTTCTGACCCCCTTTGAACTGAAGGAGCCAGCATGAGAGCCTGGGCTCTTCCCTGAAGTTTCTGACAGGGCCTCAGCCTGGGGTGAGCCTAGCGAGCCTGGTGTGTTCATGGGAGATGACTTAGCAAGTGGCTTTCTGCATTTTCCAGAAGCAAAATACTCCCTTCTGGCACCTGGTCCCAGCAGTGGGAGGCTGTGGTGCTGCTGCGGAAGGTGGCTGGCTGCCTTTGGCCAGATGGTCTTCAGGACAGAGTCCACCACCCGGGATGTCACCCCAGCCAGCTCGTGCTTCAGTGCCTGCGAGAGGACCCTCGCTGCCAAGGGCAAGTCACCCTTGTCGCCTCTGTCCTCATCCTCCTCCAGCTCATGCACCTCCAGGATGTTTCTCCAGAGAGGCGCTTTGCGCAGGTCACTGGTGGCAGTGGCACTGTCCTTGTCTGGGCTGTCTCCAGGCTTCCCAGGCAGTGGATGTGCTTTCTCGGCACCTTCCTGGGTTTGGGCAACATCCCCAGAGTTGCAGACCTGGGAGAACTTCTCCTGAAGCCACCTCAGCTGCTGCTCTAAAAAGCAGAGCTGCTCCTTCAGCTGCTGGCAGCCCTTGGCATGGGAGCTGCCCCCCACAGGGGCCACTCGCCTGGCTGCCCCCGCACCCTGCTGGGGCACCCTCGGCTTCCTCTTGCTCTCCCGGGGCATCTCATTACCCCTCTCACTCTCCTGCCCAAAAGCTGCCTCCAGGCTGGTGCCAAATTCCAGGCGGGTCGGTGAGAGGTTCATGCCTTGGATGATGCTCTCCACCCTGGCCCGCTTGGCTCGTAGGTGCTGGTCAGAGAGCTGGTCGCTGTCACCAGCACAGGGCATGGAAGCTGGGGCACGGGTTCTGGGGAAAGGCAGGGCTTGCCCTCCTTCTCCAGGAGGTGCACCGCATTGGTAGTCCTGAGGCAGGGCCACTGCCTGGGAGGAAGGAAAAAGGATGCAAGGATCCAGGCTCCTGCCAACCATCGGGTGGCTGAGGAGCTGTGATATCAGGGATGTGCTGGGGGAAGGCAAGAGAGAGTTGGTCTGGAAACAGGGCTCTGTCTTCAGCCCCTGGCTGTGCCCTGAAGTGGCACAGTCTCTGTCCTGCTCAGAGGCAGTGTTGCCATCCATTGTCTCTTCTTCCTGCCTGGACACCGGAGAGCTGACCCTCAGATGATTTGGGATCATTTCCAGTGATGGACTGGCAGGCTTCCCAGGTGTTCGAGGTTTCAGCCTGCTAGAGGTATGGAGATGGGGAAAGAGCAAGAAACGTCAGCAGGCAGGACATCATACAGCAGCTCTGCATGCAGGTGGCCAGAGATTTTCCTCCCAGATTCCCAGGGCATCCCTATTCCCAGACCATTCCCTGCTCCTGGCACTACCAAACCCATGAGCAGGCTGTCGTGAGTTGCATGACAGCAGCAATGCCCAGGACACTGTCACAACTGCCACCTACCAGCCAGACATTCATGGTGCCCAGAGTTTGTTTCACATAGTTTGAGCCCTGGATGTGCCCAGCAGTGTGGACTTCCCACACCACCAGCTGCGCCTGCAACGGAGGCCTTCAGGGAAACTCCCTTCTGGGCTCGTGGACTCAGGTACAAGGGTGGTGAGCACTAGACTGAGCCCTCTGCCACGCACACCTGGGCAAAGGTGGGTTTGGGTGCTCCCGGGTGCTGGCAGGGCATGGGGACAGCAGCTACATCCTTGGCGAAGGCATTCACAGCATGGAGCAGCTAAGCCAGGGCATGCCAACCGCAACCTGGGCTGCACCAAAAGAAGCATGGCCAGCAGGTCAAGGGAGGTGATTCTGCCCCTCTACTCCGCTCTTGTGAGCCCCCACCTGGAGTACTGTGTCCAGCTTTGGAGTCCTCAGCATAAGAAGGACATGGACCTGTTACAGCAGGTCCAGAGGAGGGCCACAAAGATGATCAGAGGGTTGGAGCACCTCTCCTATGAGGACAGGCTGAGGGAGTTGGGGTTGTTCAGCCTGGAGAAGAGAAGGCTCTGGGGAGACCTTATAGCAGCCTTCCAGTATCTGAAGGGCACCTACAAGAAAGCTGGAGAGGGACTTTTTACAAGGGCAGGTAATGATAAAATGAGGGGTAATGGCTTCAAACTAAAGGAGGGTAGATTTAGATTAGAGATCAGGAAGAAATTTTTCTCTATGAGGGCGGTAACGCACTGGAACAGGTTGCCCAGAGAAACTGTGGATGCCCCGTCCCTGGAGGTGTTCAAGGGCAGGTTGGATGGGGCTTTGAGCCACCTAGTCTAGTAGGAGGTGTCCCTGCCCATGGCAGGGGGGTTGGAACTCGATGATCTTTAAGGTCCCTTCCAACTCTGACCATTCTATGATTCTATGCCTTCTGCGTGCTTCTCCCAGCACCCAGCACCTGCCACTACAGCCCTGAGGGCATAGCGATGGGCAGCAGTGCTGAGAGGCCAAGACAGCACAAACAGGCTGGTGGGAAGGGGCACAGCGAGGGTGAAAGTGTGATGTGACCCACTGTGAGCGGGGCACACTGGGATGTTCAGGCTAACGCAGCACTAAGTGCTCCTAAGCACTTGTTAAAACACAGAATAAAAGGAATGGGGATGGGGATGGGGATTACCAGGGAAAAGAAAAACTACTGAGCCAGCAGCCCCTGGCTTAAAAATGTTATGCTGACTCCAGGCAGGGATCCACCCCCTCCACTTGCTCGCTCGCTTGGACAGCTTTGCAAAAGGCGGCACAAAAGCTCTGGGCAATTACAGAGTAACTGTCCCTCTGGGATGCTTCTTCCTCATCGACATTAATTAGCAGTAGCTTTGCATCCCTGAAATAGGACCGTTTATGTCTTTTCCAGACACCTTTAAAGCGTCTGAGATTCTTTTGCTATAGTCAGAAATGTCTGATCATTTTCAACACCATCAGTCTCTTGTCCCCATGACTGTCCGCACCATGGTGAGTCCCCACTAATAAGCAGTGTAGAAAGCAGGTTTCTACTCACTGTTTTTTAGCAGGTTGCCTTTCTTCAAGCAGTATTCTATTCCAGGCAGGTTATCTGGGAGAGCCCTACCTTTTGCAGAGCTCTAGTCCTGACAAACCAAGTATTTTTGGGGTTGTCTAACACTTGTTGCTCTCCCGTGTTGTCTCCCCACCCCTCCCAAACATTAGGATTTCATTTTCCTAACAGTCTGTTGTGAGGGTCATTCAAACTGCTCAGTTTACCTGCGGCCAGTGCAAAGCCAGGGTGCCGGCAGCTCTCAGCATCACCCCCCACCCTTGTATAACGAGCTTCACCATCGCCTGCGGCTGCCTCTTAGCCTGCCAGCCACTTCCAACAAAGCCACGCAGCAAATGCAATGCAGTCACAGATTTCATCCACCCTTAAGCCTTTCCACATGGCATGGGCACAAGGCAGCTGGTCCTGCAGCCTCACTTTTGGATGCATCAATTTGTCACAGAATCACCTTTTAGCACTTGGTCACAGCTTCTCACCTCCTCTGTGTTCAAAAGCAAGCTCAGTGAGCTTACTCGTCCCCTATGCTGATGCTTCCTAGCCCCAGAAAGCCAGGGCGATACACCCCTCGTAAGCAGATGAACTCAGAATTGACAAGAAGTCCTCCACTTGCCTAAGGCTTCCAGCACCATCAACTTTCTGCCAGAGATTTGGAGAGCGGGAGCAGAGACTGTGGTCCCAGACCATGGCAGTCCGCTGTGTGCGGCCTCAGCTCACCCCCCGCCGCCTCCCCAGCGCCGCAGGACCAGGCTGTCCTGCCCCAAGCAAACCGCTCCTGCTGATGCAGCCCTTTCCCCACTGAGTTAGCAGATGCGTACTTTGGTTCCTTACTACCAGCCTTCACCAGTGCCACCTTCCAAAACACTAAAAAGCAGCCAAGGCTCCTCTTACCTGAAGAAAAAGACCAAGGAATGAAACAAAGATGCCCAGAAGAGAAGACAAGTGTGTCCTCTCCAAAATGGGAGCCACCCGACGTGGTCCCCCCAAGTGCTCCTCAGTGGGGGAGCTGTGCAACAGAGCACACTGACGCCCCTCCAGCACTGCAAAAATCCCCCCAAAGCCTTCCTCAGCTGCTGCATTCCTCTGTCTTCAGCGAGCGGCCCCCGACCTTAGCCACTCGCACCTCTCCACCCCACTCACCTTGGCTCCAGGGGCGCAGGGAGCGCAGCGCCCCAAGGGCAGGCGGCCGAGGGCCGTGGGATGCCGCAGAGGCAGCACTAGCACGTCCTCCCGCTGCGCTCAGGTCCTTTAAAGAGGGAGTGGGGAGGCCGGAGGCAGCCAACCGGCTGGGAACGACTTCTGAATATGCAGATGGACGTCCAGGAGGTCAGGTCCAGCGCCGGAGTCCAGCCACCTTCCCTGCCGCTCGGCTATCTCCCAGGCTCATAGCCCCTGAGGTTGGGCAGGCAAAGGCTGGTGCTGAGCTGCTGGATGCCCAGGTGTGCAGAGGGCCAGACAAGCAATTCCCCCTTACAATTTGGCCTGGAAACCCCATGCAAGACCCAGATGGTGTAAGAGACTGTTAAGATGTCTCAAAATTCGCTTACTACAAGATGTCTCAAAATTAGAACATCTCAATAGGAAACCAGTAGTCCAGATGTCTCAAAATTCGTTTATCACAAGCAGACCAGCCATATACTATTTGCAACAGGGGCCAGAAGCACCCAAAGCTTGCCCGAACTAAGCTGCAAGATGTGCCAAAGTTGTCCGCCGACGTGGTGTACATGACCACCAAGGGGTACATCAGGGGCAACCATCTTCCAAAATACGTGTTATGACACACGACCAAATGCCAAAGATTGGACAAGCAAAAGTGGCCTCTATACTGATTGGTCAAGTATTAAGCAGACTTTAACTATAAATTAGTACCGTGTCCCTCTGCAGTTGGGCCCCGCCCCCCCCGCCATCGTTGTGACCTGAGGATCATGAGTCAACGGGATGCTGCTGATGCTAGAGGACCGTGAGGACACTGAGGGCCTGTGGTGGTGACTACACTCTTGCTGTGCTCTGTAATACTGCTTCTCTCTTCTGCCTTTCCCCTACTTCCTCCTTTACTCTAGTGCTCGTTTCAGTAACCAAGGCTGGAAGATAACAATAAAGCTTTGGCAGACGGTATTTGACCTCATTTGTGTCTTAATCTCACACGTGGAATCATTACGGGTCCTCCCGGACCCCCATGTCCCGGATCAGGGCGTGACAGATGGTGAACCGTTGAGTGAGATGATGCAAATACACCAGGCAAGAGGTAAGCAGTGCCACAGGCAAGGAAGGAGCCGGCCCAGAGCTCCAGGTGCTGCCCAGCTCCCATGGAAAGTGCCCAGGCATTTCCAGCATCACCTGCCACCGGGACACGGAGGCATTTTGGCTGGCCAGGAAATGGAACAACACAGGAAAAGCGGTAACACTGAGCTCCTTGCTTATCACAGGGTGCTTTAGAGACACTGCTGCAGTCAGCAGAGCCAGCACCACTCTCAGCTGAGCAGGCTTTGACCCCAGCCCCAGGACAAACCCACCTGTCCCCGGGGCACACGTGGTTGTGAGACATTTCGTGCAGGAGCTGTGGGGTGGGTGGACGAAGCCTAGCCATGTGTGCTGCTCCTGGGGCTCCATCTGCTTTGCCTCCACATGCTTACTGAACACGGCGATGTTTGGTGTATTCACAGCAGGAGGCTGTGGTTAACAGCAGTTGACATCAGGTGGTCTTGTCTTGTTCAAGGATATTAGCCCTCAAAAGACAGACTGTGGAGAAATCCCTGGCAGAGAGCCTTTCTGGCTCAGTTGCCTTTTATTAATGGAGTCAGCGGTTCCTCAAAGCCTCAGAGACTATTCCGTTTGGTTTTGTTCCACCTCTTTTCTCTGAAAATGATGCCAATTATGTTTGTGGCAAATTTATATTAGGAGACTATTATACAGGTTACAGTTTACCATTCATATATTATTAAGCAATGGCTAAATTAAGGACATGTCCATAACCTGGACTTGGCTCCTTGAGATGCCTGGCTGCCAGACAGCCTTTCATGACTATCCCAAGCTAATTCTCAGATTCTGCAAATGTGTTCCTTGGGTTTTATTCCACCTGTTGTTCCCCACCTGGAAGAAGGCAGAAAACAGAAGCCAGCTGGGGGAATTCTCAAACCTTTTGAACATACAGACCACACCTGAGGAATGGGACTTACTTGTGGACCCATTTGCCTGTTTGCTGTGGAGAGATGACCTCCTTGCCCATTTCATAGAATCATAGAATGGTTTAGGTTGGAAGGGGCCTTCAAAGGTCATCTAGTCCAACCCCCCTGCAACGAGCAGGGACATCTTCAACTAGATCAGATTGCTCAGTGCCCTGTCCAATGTGACCTTGTATGTTTCCAGGGATGGGGCACCTACCACCTCTCTGGGCAACCTGTGCCAGTGTTTCACCACCCTCACTGTAAAAAATGTCTTCTTTATATTTAGTCTGAATACACCCACTTTTAGTTTAAAACAATTTCTAACCATGCAACATCCCACTGGCTGATGCTTGCGGCAATGTCATCCTACGTGAGCTCAACCCCATGGTGTGTCAAGGTGAGCAGGATGAGCACCGGTACGGCTGTCCTGCAGCAATCCAGAGTTGGTTCAATGAAGAGCGGCATGAAACAACGCCTTTTGGTAACACGTAGGGGCGTTTATGTACCAGGAACTGTAGGTAACATAACTTGTAGGTAACGTAACTCGTAATGTGAAAGCCCCCATGTCCGCTTGTGCAGGCAGGGCCGCACAAAGGTACTGACAACCAGGACACAAGGCACAACCGAACCATCTGCCTGCACCCTGGCCCCGCACAGGGCTGTGGAAGCCACCTTAGGTATGGTTCAACAGGAGGCTCTTGAAGTATCACAGCCTGCTCCTGCCCCAGCCCTGCCCCACAGCCCAGTCCCCACCCCTGTCCCTGCCCCACAGCCCCTGCCTTAGGCCTGTCCTTCCCCCACGGCCCTGTCCCTATTGCGTCCTCCCCTCACAGCCTTGCCCCAACGGCCGTCTCAGCCCC